CCCCCCCCCACTCCTTCCCCCCTCCCACGCCAGCCCCGTGGGGGAGGGACGGGCGAGGGCCATCACCCGTGGCCTGCCGATGAACCGTGAGGGGAGCGGGGGGGTCCGGCAGGGCCGGGGGTGGCTCACACGTCGGGGCGCAGCGGGGTGCTCGCACGCCTGGCATCTGCTCGGGAGCCGCCGGCGCAGGGTCGAGAGTTCAGCCCCGGCCCCCCAGTGCCACCGCCGGCCTGCCTCAGCCGGTTTGTCCCTGGCTCGGGTGATTCGTGGCGGCAGGGTCCCTGCGCCCTGTTTGGGCAGGGGGTGCCCGCCCGGACGTGTCACCGAGGGGGCCGGCACGGAGGTGGGTGGCAGGGGCAGGTGCCGCGGTGTGACAGGGACTGGGGAAGGCGGGTGGCACGGAACCGTGTGCCTGGCACACGGCTCCTGGGGACCACGAGGCCGTGAGCGGGGACATCTATGTGACACGGGTCCCCGTGCGTGGCCCCGGTGCCTGCAGCGAGGTGGCTGCATGGGGACACAGCCCACACTGTCCCCAGGAGCCGGACATCTCCGGGACGTGGCTCGGGGTGGTACCCGGAGCCGAGGTGCCCCCAGCATCCACGCTGGGATGCCCGTCACAATATGTCTGTGGTACCCAGACCCACCCCGGTGTGACCTCTCCACCGCAGCGCAGGCAGCAGGATGGGGCGGGGTGGTGACACGCAGCGGGGACGCTGGCGTGACGGGGGGTGCTGGCCCATTGCGGTGGGCACACGGGCGGTTCACGGCGGGGTCACCCTGCCGCGGTGGCACTCGGCGGGGACAGCCTTAATGCGCTGGGACGTAACCTCGGCTCCTTCTAATCATCGTCTGGGTGGGTGACCCAGTGCTCCCTGCGCCCTCCCTGGCATCCTGCACCCCGGGGTGCCCCTGCCCACCGGGGGGGTGCGGGGCTGGGCTGCGGGGGGCCTGGGCACCCCTGCGTGGGGGGCTGCGGGGGGCACCCGGGGCTGTGCGCATTGCCAGGGGGTGGCAGCAACACACCGAGCATGGCAAGGCACCCCCAAACCCCAGCCAGGCTCACCAGTCTGACCAGTTGCCCTCCTCCAGCATCCCCAGGATGCCACGCTGGAGGGATGCGACCCACCAGGTGGGGGACAGCCGGCTGGGGCAGGGTGGTGTTGGGCCCAGGGCTGGTTTTGGGTGCCAGCCCCCACCGTACTCAGGGGTACCTGCTGGGAGCCCGGTGCGATTCAGGCTGGGGCGCCCTGGCACGGCTGTGCCCCCTGCTCGGGTGCTCTCAGGGCCACTGCAGGGTGACACAAAGGCTTAACCCATGGCTTATCCCAGCCGGCTGGCCCTGCCTGCCCCTGCTGAGACCTGGCACGCTCGGTGCAGGCCAGCAAGCAGCCGGGGCCATGCTCACCAGCCGGCAAGGCAGCCCCCCAGGGATGCTGCTGCCCGCGGCCCCTGCCAGCCGGCAGCACCGTCTGTCTCCCTGCCCTTGCGGGACCGGGGCACAGCTGAGCCCCGACCCTGGGCACAGGCGGGCACGGCCCCGCAGGAGGGTCATGGGCACGCAGCCACCCGTGGGGCCAGCTGGTGGAGGGCGTGGGGGGGCAGCTTTCCAGGTGCCCCCCAGATGCCACGGGGCCGGGGTGGCAGCAGGAGCCTGGCACGGCCCCGAGCCCGCAGGGGCTGGCTGTGCGGCATGGCCACGCTGCCAAGCCCCCTCCTCGGCCCCGCGCCCAGGCAGCCCTTGGGGCAGGATCGGCCAAGGGAGGGTGGCCATGGTGTAAATCTGGCCAGAATTGGCAGAGGACAGGGCTCCCTGCTTTTCCCTGCACCACATCCCCATCTGCCCTGGCTCTGCCCGCGTGCCTGCTGCCTCGCCAACCCCGTGCCATGCTGTACTATGCCGTGCCGTGCCGTGCCGTGCTACAGGAGCATGCATGGGCAGAGGAACCCATGTGCCCAGCTAATGCCAGCCCTGTGCTGCCGGGGGGTGAGCAGATGGTGCCGGGGTGGGTGCTGGTGGGTGCTGGGGGGGGTCGGCACTGCCTTCGGTGCTGTTGCCTCGGGAGCACCTGTTTGCCAACCAGGTGCCTGGCGTCGCCTCCTTATCTGGGATTAAACAAACCCTCCCCAGAGCCGGCGCCAGATGCTGCTCCTGTGCCCGTGAGACCAGCCCTCCCCCACCCCAGGGCTCCCCCGTGCCTGCTGCCCCCCTCCATGCTGGGCGGGGGGGGGGGGGCCCGCACCCGCAGGATCCCGGGGGGGG